ATTGAGGGTTTTCTGCAGCCCGGAGCTGACCTGGGAGGAGAGGGAGGGCATCCTCAGCCTGCCACTGCTGCAGCTCCCTGCCGGGAGCTGAACATGCACAGACGTCACCTGAGTGTTTGGGTGCTGCAGTGGGCGCAGGGTGCCCGGCGGTGCCCCCCGGCAGCCCGGTGTGCCTGTCAGAGCTGCTCTGCGTCCCGCTGCCCCTCGGACGAGGTATTTCCCTGCCGAGCAGGAGGCTGGGTCTGGCTGCCTGCACCACCCAGTGCCCGTGTTTCTTCATCTTGGTTTTCAAATAGCAGGAGGAAAGAGGTGTCTGGACTCCAGCGAGAGACCTGTTTTTAAATAGAGCCCTTCTGGTTTTAAGGAAGGGGTTTGAGGGAGCGCAGCAGCCCAGGCTGATGGGTAGGTACCCAGGCAGCGCAGCTTCATGCGTCCCGCAGCTGCCAGCACCCTCTGCCTCTCGCTGGTGGCTGTTCCCCTCCCTCTCCCGCTCTGGGCTTGGTGCAGGGGCGAGGGGCTGCTTCTGCGGCTGAGCTGGCTGGAAGCGAGGGGCTGCGGTGGGGCTGTGCTGAGGGGAAGCAGCCCCTGCTGTGCTGGAGGCAGCAGTGGACATGGAGACAGGCGGGCTCCGCGGGCCCTGTGTCTTCCCCTGATCCCTTCTCCGCTCTGACCTCTTCTCTCTTGCCAGCTGTGCCGGCCTGGGAAGCCCGCAGGGTCCAAGCTGCCTAGAGACCTTCCCGTACTGGAGCGACTTCGGCACGGACGACACGCACTCGGACAGCCTGGATGAGCCGGCTGAGCCCTTGGGCGGACGGCGTGAGATGCAGTGACCGGCTCCTCTGACCTCGCCTGCCTTCCCCGGGACCTGCAGCCCTCGCTGGAAGAGGGACCGCTGCTGAGCAGGAGGGACGTCCAGGCTGGTGGGACTGGGGCTGCGCTGGGAACAGGGCCCTGTCGCGGGCTCTGCGGTGTCCAGGGCTCACGTGCTCTCTCCCTGCTGACTCTTGACTGTCCTTGATGTCCCAGGCAGCGCGTTCGTTTCGCTCTTCTCTTTGGAGGAGAGATCTAGTGGTTCGTGAAATCTGTGTTTGTTGTTCCCGTGGCCTTTGCTCTCTGACTGGAGCAGTAGCAGGGCTCAGTTAGGTGGTGGTGCCAGCTCTTGGCGTGTCCCTGGCCCGGGGCAGGGCGGGAGACGCTGGCTCACGTCCAGCACGATGGAGGAAGGCTTTCCGTGGTGGAGCAGAGGCTGGCCACTGCCCAGCAGGTCTCCTCAGTTCGGTCCCCCGTGCTCCCCTCTGTGCTGCAGCCATGGGAGGCTGCGTTTCCCCGGTCACGGCCGTGCTGTGCAGCTCCTGGGGTGGGGTGGGGGGGGTCTCATCTGCGTGGAGCCCACACGTGGGGGGCGAACGGAGCTGTGCTCCCCCAGGAGCACAGGGAGATGGAGGGGGGCGGTTTGTCCCCCCTGCCCTTCCGAGAGGGGGGGCAAACCTCCTTCCTCACACACCGCCTGCCATGCACAGGGCAGAACGAGGAGCCTCACAGCCAGGATCTGGCTTGCTCAGAAAAAGGAGCGTGTAGCTGCTGTGAAGTCGGTGTCCGGCAGCTCTTGGGCTCTGGTTACTCCTGATGCCCCTCCCTGTGCTCTCCTGCACCTTTTCCTCCCACCCTCAGCACTGGTGAAGGCAGAGCTGACGTGCTCTGACTTGAAATAAAAATGAAGTAGAAGGGACTTAACTGCTTGCTGGCAAAGTGTGTCCTTGCTGCGTGGGCGGAGGGAGCTGAGGCCGAGCTAATTGCAGATGGATGTCTTCAGGGGAAAGGGGGTGCTTGCACCTCTTACCGTGGGGCTGGAGCTGCCAAAACCCCTGCCTGGGGAATCAGACAAGTCCCTGGGGCCAGCATGGGGTGCTGGGGCCAGCCCCGG